ATTTATCTTTGACAGTATTAATTATTTAAAATCAAAACTGACAGCGGCGGCTATGGCACGACACGCTGCACGTAAAGGTTACCGGCTTTACCATTTTATTATCTGTTTTGTCGCCCACTCACCTCCTTGTCTTGACCTAGACAGGAAAGTAAAAAGCCTTCGAAATTGATACAGTTTTAACAAGTGGTTTGCCGCCTTTTTTGCATGTAACGTCACGGTCAGTTTGTGACAGTTAATGTTTTTAGTCAAAGGGCAAACTGCCATACAGCCATAAAAATTATGCGCATAGAGTAAAAAAAAACTTGAAATAATTTTATTTCCTGTAATAAAAACATGAAGGAAGGATTACAAGAAAATTATTAAACCTCAGGAGGATAAAAACATCCATTTACCGGATACAAAATCCATTATAGATACATACTCGTATCTTCATCACGATATAGTTTATTATTATATTTATTGTTAAATTAGAATAATTTTCTATTGAACAATTTAATATTTTAGACCCACTTTATTAATTTTATACAGATAACTGTTTGATACTAAGCTTCCAAAAATTAAAATAACAAAACAATTCAGTTGGAACCGGTCTAGCGGATGAATTGACACCAACTAATTTTGCGATAATCAAAGAAGTTTCTGGAATGTGATTTATTGCGGACACGGAAACACCAGCTCAGGGAATGAGACCAAACGACATCACAGCAATTAATAAACTTTTGACACCGACTACTTTCTATGTTTGATTTGCTAAATTGTATTTTATCTGTAGTCGATTCGCGAATTTATTTATTTATTACTCATGCAAAGTCAATAAGCTTAGAAACCTGATAAATTACTTGTGACATTGTAACTAATCACAAGTTTATCGATATGTCGTTTATCGATATACCATTTAACTAACTTGTTAGGAAAAAATAATGTATATTGCAAACACTTCAGTAGACCGTAATAAGCTGGGGGCTTGTAGAAACATTTAAATCATGTGTTGTTTGTTTTAAATTACAACACGTAATTTACTATGTTGTGTTAGTGTAGTAGAATGTGTATGTCCTACAGTGGTGGTAACATATCGATAGAGACGGTAGATAATAAATGTTCAATAGAACTAAAGTCTAGTCTCTGTTAATTAGTGTGTCAAACCCCACGAGGCTTCTTTGAGTTTGTCGCCTTTGTGTAAATTCATTTCTGTTGAATCTGAGATAGGATTCTGTTTTGTAATAGGATTTCTAATTAAGGGGCTCCAAACATTAAAACAACGATTACAAAATCTACTTTTTTTTTTTAATTAACGCAATTATTTTCCGCACATTCATCAAATAGACATGTACATAGGTACGCGGGACTAGTACGAGTGACCGTGAATATACTAACAAGCTGTTATTCTAGCCCGTAGGCATACAGCGGCCTCCCTCAGAGTTTTAACAAGTTAGTTAATTACAATGTGACCTTGTGACGCCGTCCAGTCCAGCGCCGCCGAGCTTCATAAATGATGCACAGTATTCCGCGCTTGTCGCTGTCGTTTGTCGCTGAACTTATCACTGTGAAATGTAAAGCTAATATAAAACTGTGGTAAACTCTACAAACACTAATCAAAACTAGTAGCGTAGTTTCAATTAAAGTTGTGTAGATTAATAGCGACATCTATTGACATTTTGTTAACACTATTTTTCATGTTTCGATCCTGTGTGCTGATAGCATGTGTTAAAAATAAAAAAAGAGTAATCGCTTAATTAAAAATTCCCTGTGCGATATACAGGAGGTTCAAATTAAACTCTCAGTTACATGTATCGTCAGTTAACAATGTCAGTGAGGAGTGACAGGCGACAGGCGACAGGTGATAGGTGGCAGGTTATTATCCGCTGCACCTGACACGCGTGAGTTATTGCGCGGGGCAATGACGCATGTCACATTACGGTGATATTATCACGACTATATGTATACTATGGAGTAGGCAGAATAGTAAAACACTGATATTTAAATTAAAACATTTTTTCTCTCTTGAGTAAGATCTTCATTTTCTTTAGGTAGTCGTATTTAGATATGACATTTCCTTGTTTGGGCATTCGAGCATCACCGCGTCCCTCCTCGGGATATCTGCAATTTCCAACATATTTTTTAATCTCGCTTTCCTTCTTTGCAGATGGCGATACTAAGTGCACTCTTACTTCTGACAGTAACTTACTCTGATCTAGTCGTCGGCACACCGCAGATGCACCATGTCAAGCGATCACTTGACAACTCGAAGCACATCACACAAACTATTATTAAACATGACATTGAAAAAATGGTACCAATACCTCTCCACACTGTCGTCATCGAGCCTGCAAGGAAACAAAAGTCACAAAATCTACCTATATCCATTTCCATTCCTCATCAGTTACTAGTACCCAACTTACACGTCATACGGATCTCTAACGTCCACCAGGTCCATGGGAACGCGCACCATGACGGGCCCACCGTCATATCACATACGGTATCCCACGGATCTCCAAACGTCACGCATCAGTTGGTGCCGGTGTTGATACCTATTCACAACCATCTAGTACCGGTCCACGATTTGACTGTAATACCTCTACATAGTGTTGTGCACAAGAATACAAAGATCGGTTTCAAAATAACCGAAAACCATGTTCCTGATGAATCCATTAATAGTTACCGGAACCCGCTCGGTGGGTACGGCGCGGGCTGGTACTTTGGCGGCCACGGCGCTGGACATGGCTTCCATTACTCTTATGGATAGTTAAATATTAACCACTTTATTATTTATTTTTGCGTAATTTATTTAATCTGTAATCATTAAAGTCTTATTTATTGCCAAGTGCTTTTATTTCTGTGAACTTGAGTACTTAGGTTTAACTACGAATCTGTTGGACACATTAAACAAGATAAATACAAGTAAATTATAAATTAAGATCATGGAAACTATAAAATGTTAGGTAAAATTGCAATAATCGGCATGTAAAAATAGATAGTGTTGTCTCGTAGACTCTTGCCAGACATCTCGACATATGACGGAACGTCTGCGAGAAGTCTACCAGATAAAGCACTTCAAAGTCGTATCATTGAAGTGGCTAATGCGAAAATTTATCTCTAAATCTGTCTACATACTCATTTTTATCTCTGACGAGCTGTCATTGTGAACTTGGTAACTATTTCTTGCAGGTTATTTTCGGAGCTAGAATCAGCTCCTCAAAGTATGACCGCATTATGTTAACAATGCTGGTCATAAATTGTAATATTACTTAATAAAAGCTATAACCCAAAGGACCATTTAATTCCATATTACATGAACTGATCCTCATGGAGGGATATTTAAAGATCTGATTGATAAAGGGGTTTTCCAAAAGGTGAAAAGCGACATGATCAAAAAGCTAGTGATGTCTGAAATGACTGAAAATAGAGAACGAATACTTAGTGCACGGACACTTTCTTAGCAGGAAATGGACAGGGAGATCAGTAGTTAGTATATTATAGTATACGTAAATTCGCACCTAGCCTGATCACGTTCACCTTACGTGTTTCCAAAAATCCTTATCACAAGTCTGTGGCAGGAGCGTGATATAGTGTAGGTCGGGTCGTGGCTATCCGCTATCTCCTAGGCACTACCTCGCAGATAGCGGGCTCCGGCAGCGGGAGCTAGCCGTACCTGAGCTGACATACCGCTGTACCGTTAGCCGGCAGTCAGTGCACGCGCACACCTCAATACAAACGGACCGGTCGCGAACAAACACGTTTATTTTGCGACAAACATATTGTGAATAATAATAAACATCTGAATTGAGAAGTAAACAAGTAAGTAGGTTTCAGTATAATTCCCTAACAGGTTAGATTGCATCTAAGTACTAGGCTTTGCTATGTCATTTAAAAAAAAAAGGATACAAGTGAAAAACTTTCACGCTTTTCTGTAAAATACTACACCATCAAAACAATATTTGAATGACTAACGCTATTACTACGCTGCTTATTTCAAACTGTTGTGAATGCAAATCAATTACTACATTGTTATATCTTGTTTAGTTACTTAAAAATCTTTATTACTGTACTCTTATAACTTTTAATATCAGATTGTTAACATGCATGAATGCACTCACTCGGATCGTGATTGACCTCCGAGATGGGTCAATTTGAATTGATTTTAAATCATGTAAACAATATTTTGTTATGTTGCAGCTAACACGTGCAGAGAGATAAGGAACGCAAATTGTCACAAGAATTGGATAAAAGACGATCTTACATAATGAGGTGAGCGCGTATTTCAATTTTGGCATATAAATACGATAAATTTATAAATGACCAGAAAACTTATCAAGCCTCTATCAATAATATGGAATAGTTATAATTGAATTTATTTTTATTTGCAGGTTACTAAGAATGTGCATCTTCACTTTGATGACTATTGTAAGCTTCGCAAACAGCCATTCTCTACAAGGTACTGCTAAACTTTTTAATTTGTAGTACCTGGCTTTGTTGTTAATTTCTGTATTAATGATAATTCTTCAGGTTATGTAAAGAACGAGAAGTTGAGGACGGCTTACAGAATAGTGTACCGGTCACAGCCGTGGCCGGTGGCGCGGGACACGTGTGCGGAGGAAGGCGGCAAGCTGGCCGTGCCCAAGACTGAGGTTACATCTCGAAGGA